CAGCTAATTTTTGTATTTTTAGTAGAGACGGGGTTTCACCGTGTTGACCAGGATGGTCTCGATCTCTTGACCTCGTGATCCACCCGCCTCGGCCTCCCAAAGTGCTGGGATTATAGGCTTGAGCCACCGCGCCCGGCCTACTCTTTTGTTTTTAAGACAGGGTCTCACTCTGTTGCCCAGGCTGGAGTGCAGTGGCGTAATCTTGGTTCACTGCAACCGTTTCCTCCTGGGTTCAAGCAATTCTCCTGTGCCAGCCTCCTGAGTAGCTAGAATTACAGGCGCACACCACCACACCCAGCTGATTTTTGTATTTTTAGTAGAGACGGGGTTTCTTCCTGTTCACTAGGCTGGTCTCGAACTCCTGACCTTAGGTGATCCACCCACTCGGCCTCCCAAAGTGCTGGGATTACAGGTGTAAGCCACCAATCCTGGCCTACCTCCACTTACATCTTGATAGGAGAATATCTAATAGGACCTCAGAGCAAAACACCATAGAGCAAAATATTGGAAAAGTTGACTGCATTAAAATTAAAAACTTCTGTGACCAAAAGCAAAGTCAAATAACAAGTTTCACACTTTGGGAGGTCAAGGTGTGTGGATCACCAGAGGTCAGGAGTTCAAGACCACCCTGGCCAACATGGTGAAACCCCGTCTTTACTAAAAATACAAATATCAGCCAGGTGTGGTAGCGTATGCCTGTAATCCTAGCTACTCAGGAGTTTGAGGCATGAGAATCGCTTGAACTGGGAGACGGAGTTTGCAGTGAGTTAATATCACACGACTGCACTTCAGCCTGGGCACCAGAGTGAGACTCCATCTCAAAAAAAGACTAACAAGTTTCAGGCTGGGAGAAAATACTTGTAACATCTTAACTATTGAGGGATTATAGGAAAAACAAGGCCATGATTTGAAAAGCTTCAAAATCAGTGAATTCTCTGTTTTTCTGTGGCCTTATGTGCTGACAGTCTTATCTTAAGAGAAAAAATTTCAATACTATAGATTAAAAGTAACTTTGGCAAAAATTAAAACGCAGGCAGGGAATTTTTTTCCAACAACAGAAACTAGGAAAAGCAAAGATACAGTAAAAATTGAAAATTTCAAGTATAGAGAAGGCCAGGTGTAGTGGCTCCTGCCTGTAATTCCAACACTCTGGGAGGCCAAGGCAGAGATGGCTTGAGGGCAGGAATTTGAAACCAGCTTGAGCAACATAGTGAGACCTTTTCTCTACAAAGGTAGAAAATTAGCTAGGCATGGAGGTATACACCTGTAGTTCTACCTGATTGAGAGGTTGAGGTGGGAGGATCACTCAAGCCCAGGAGGTCAAGGCTGCTGTGAGCTATCTATGATTATGCCACTGCACTCCAGCCTGGGTGACAGAGTAAAACCCTGTCTCAAAAGAGAAAAAAAGCCAAATAGAACATGAGCAAGGGATATAAACAAATAAATGCATGGAAGAAGAAACTCGATTAGCTAATAAACATCTGAGATGTTAATAAACTGTGCAATAGGAAAATGAAAATTAACATAATGAGATATTTTATATTCATCTGATAAAAGGCTGACAATTTCAAGTGTTGGCAAGAATGTGGAGCACAGGGAAACCTCATACATTGCTAGAAATAGATTTGTCCATCCACTCTGGAGAATCTTCAGTAAAGTAAAACATGTACATATCTTTTGACCCAGCAGTTACTCTCTTAGGTTTATATTCTACAGAAATCCTTAGAGATAAACACAAGGTGATATGTTCAATAATTTTTATAGCATCATTGTTTGGAATAGCAAATGAATTGGAAATAATCCAGATGTTCATCAACAGGCACATGGGACAAATATATTTACAATAGAATACCTTATAGCAATGAAAATAAAGTTTGTTTATATGTGTCAAAAGGATTAATTTCTGTAAAACAATATTGAATTAAAACAAGTAGCAGAATGATAAATATGCAACCAGAAAAATTCTAAGTTTAGAACATGTAAAAATGTCATAATAGAAATGCTTGAAAATGTTAGGGGACTGCATTGAGGCTATATTTGTGGTGTCTAATTTTTTGAGGTAAGTGGCAAGTACAGAGTATTTGTTACATCATTCTTTATGTTTTTCTGAATTTCTAAATATTAAACACCTAGTCAATAGATAGAATTCACTCGTGTGATTGAGTATTCAAAGCAGTGGGATGAGATTCAAAGTGGAAGTAAAGGGGTTGTCTTTAAAAAGACTGTAAAGGAGCTTTAATTTTGGTAGACATATCAAAGAATGGATTGACCATTGGATAGATTATTTTCATAAATGTTTATTTTTCTCGGCTTACTAACAACTTGCAAAGACTGTGATGTATGTTTATGAATTTGCATGAAAAATGTGAAAATGGCACATTTGCAATCTGGTGAAAATGTATGTTAATATTTTAGACTTATAAGACTTCCTCCTAAGCTTACTACTATCTAGGGGAGGCAGCAAGATTATTTCAAAACGATATTTTTATGTGTTTTATTGTGTCATATACAGTAAAGTGGGTTTTTTCCCTTTGAAAAACACTTAGGAACTTTCTAAACTTCAACTTTTTTTTTTTTTTTTTTTTTTGCGTTTCGCTCTTGTTACCCAGGCTGGAGTGCAATGGCGCGATCTCGGCTCACCGCAACCTTTTTTGCTTAACTTAGTGTCTTCATATTGAATAATCACTTTTGTGACTCCGCTTCATTTCCTTGCTCTAAGTTGAGACATTTTTTCCCCCTGTAGCTGTTTTCTTCTGAGTATGAAAGATGACAGCATTGAAGGCATTTATGACACTCTAAAGCAATGTGCATTGATTTCTAAGTCTGCTGGAGGAATTGGTGTTGCTGTGAGTTGTATTCGGGCTACTGGCAGCTACATTGCTGGGGTAAGTTTCTGCTATTTGACTTTTAGAGGGGGATTCAACTCTAAAAGCAAACAGGTTTATGGTTGAGAGGACATGTGCTATTGTTTGGGAGTCCAGGGTCTCTCTTAATTACTAGAAGGCTATGTGACTTGGAGTGAGTCATTTCACTTCTGGCTTCATTTTCATCTATGTTATTAGAGGTTTAGATTTGACTAGATAATCTCTAGAATCCTTTTTAGCTCAGGATTTAGAATTCTGGTTTATTTTAGCAGTAGTAAGAGCAGCTATCATTTATTGATTGTTTACTATATGTTAAGTCTGTTATGACTGTTTTACGTGAAGTACTCATTTGACCCTTACTACAACCCTATGAAGTAGCTATGATTATAGACTCATGCCAGGAATCTTATTCCATAAAATAACCTTGTGAATACAGGCACCATTATCTAATTTTACAAGTGAGGAAATTGAGACATAGAAAGTTGTTACTTTCTGAGATCAATCACTTAATATGCGGTAGAGCCAGGATTCAAACTTTATGCACTGAAACTTTATGTTGGAAACTCCAGCCCTTTGTTAGTTTACTATTCACTGGGAGTCAAGATAATGGTTTTGAGTTAGACCTGGATTTAAATCCTAGCTCTGCTACTTACTAGTAATGTGGCCTAGAGTTAATTATTTTATATCTGAATTTGTTTCCTTTTCTGTAAGGTGAAGAAAGTATCTAATCCTGTAGAATAAAGTTCCAGAAGGAAATTATTCCATTATGTGGTGTTTTGGAGGTGGTGCTTTGGAGGTGGTTTGATATATACAGCACTTTTACATGATGGTAGAGTGAGTCATTGCTCACTTATCTTTCTAGATTGCTTAAAGGCTTGTTTGGGATCAGAAGGGTTATTTAAATAATTTGATGAAGTATCTTCTAGTCATAGAAGTCTCTATTTTATTAACATCATTCTGGAGTCCAATTATTACTGAGAGTCTCCTTTTACCTTATTTATTGCCCTGATATAGCCATTGCATATAATTCTTACGGTAAATTGCCTTGAATTCTTTTGGGAAAAGGCATTGTAGTAGCATTTATACTCTTTTTTTTTTTTTTTTTTTTTTTTTTTACTCTACCCAAAGTGTATCTTTCTATAATGACCTTTAGAAGATGTAGAGTTTAAATTTAGCTACCTTGATTTTGGATCCCTTTGATTTGTAATTGTTATAGCTCATTGTAAATTAGAAATGCCATGAAGTAACTTAGTACATAATTGTAATTTATTCAACATTTTGTTGATTTGATTTGGGCATTATTTTTCCAAAGCAGAAGTAGAGATAGAGAGCAGGTAAAACTTCATACCTTGCTACCTAGAAATTAGGCATCTTTTTTAACAAAAGAATGGGGCCATTTTGTTATTTTCTTTGCTGAGTGCCCTCTGTCTTTTCTATGATGGTCTCTCTTTTAGACTAATGGCAATTCCAATGGCCTTGTACCGATGCTGAGAGTATATAACAACACAGCTCGATATGTGGATCAAGGTGGGAACAAGGTAGGCTCCATAACTTGAAAGTACTGGAAATCAGAACTGAAGGTGCTAATAGATACTTAAGATGGTTCATTTATGTGTAGTTTCTAATTACTTTTTTTTACTTGTAAAATCAATTTGAGGAGGTATAATTATTTTAATGTGCATATACTTTAAATGTATGGTTTGATGGATTTTGACAAATGTATACATTTGTGTAATCACATTGATAAAGAGGTAGAACATTTCCATTACCCCAAAATCTTTCCTCCCTCATATACCTTTACATTCAGTGATCCTATCACCCCTTCCCACACATACTTTATCCCTGGCTCTAGGCAGCCACCAATCTATTCAGCTTTCTTATGTGATAGTTTATTTGCAAAGAATTTCTCAAGTTATAACTCATATAAATATGTAACTTGAAATAGGGTTGTGATATGTGGTCTAGGTTTTTCTTTTTTTGTTTTTTTTTGTCTCTCTCTTATCACCCAGAGATTTTTTTTTTTCTTTTTTAAACTGCAAGTACAAGAACAACTTAGCTCTAGTACTTGGCTCTATTAAATGTACCTGTAGCAAAGTTAAAGCCATACATTAAGTTGAGCCTTTTCTATATATGTACTCCAATGGCAGCCAAACATGAATTTCAAACTTGGTATCAAGTAAATAGAAATAGTAATGTATAATTTTAGGTTTAAAATCTAATCTGATAATGATACTTTTACAATGGTAGAAAAGCACTTGGTAAAAGAAACATACCTAATAGATAAAATTGCTAATTTTGTGAAATTGGACCATTAAATTGGCATGATCTTGGCTCACCATAGCCTTGACCTCCCGGATGTAAGTGATCCTTCTGCCTCAGCCCTCCCATGTAGCTTAGACCATAGGCCTGTGCAGCCACACCCAACTAATTTTTATACTTTTTGTTAGGATGGGGTCTCACTTTCTTGCTGGTCTCAAACTCCTAGGCTCAAGATATCTACCTGCCTTAGCCTTCCAAAGTGTTGGGATTACGAGTGTTAGCCACTGCACCTGGCCTACGTTTTTCTTTAAAAAACAAAAAACAAAAAATCTGGAACAACAAAACTCTCCCTAATTGGCTGGGTACGGTGACTCCCACCCGTAATCCCAGCACTTTGGGAGGCTGAGGTGGGTGGATCGCTTGAGCTCATGAGTTCAAGACCAGCCTGGGCAACATGATGCAACCCCATCTCTACAAAAAATACAAAAATTAGCCAGGCATTATGGTGAACGCCTGTAGTCTCAGTTACTCAGGAGGCTGAGGTGGGAGGATGGCTTTATACTGGTAGGCAGGAGGTTTCAGTGAGCCGAGATTGCAACACTGCACTCCAGCCTGGGTGATAGAACTAGACCTTGTCTCAAACAAAACGAAACAAATAAAAACTCTCCCTAATTGATAGAAGAAACAGTAAAATTGAGAGAATTGGGTTGTTTACCTGATTTTATCAACAGGGTAGTTTGCAACTAGAATCTGCCTTTTGTGACCATAGACATAGTAATCACATGTTAGTTTATAAATTTCTCTTTGATGGACTTGGACACCTTGATAAGACAGATCAGCTTTTTGACCTTCAATAAGAGCATGGCTTATATTGTCAAAGCAACTTCCTTTGGGCTTTGTGTACATGTCATGTGGTGTAAAGTGAGCTGGGCTATTGCTGAAGAGGAGGCTCCATCTGTAGTTCATCATGTCATTTTAGAAAAGCCAATCTTTCTAGTTTCAGATTTTCTTTATATCATTTGTTCTTTTTTACTCATAGAATTATAAAATATTACTTATATATGGAAAACTCATACTTTTATTTATGTTATTTATCATTATAGTGAAGATCAAAGGAGATACTATAAAAGTGCTTTGGGAGACATGATGTTTCTTTGTTTCATTTCTGTTCTGAAAAGAATTGTCATTTATTTACCACTAGCGTCCTGGGGCATTTGCTATTTACCTGGAGCCTTGGCATTTAGACATCTTTGAATTCCTGGATTTAAAGAAGAACACAGGAAAGGAAGAACAGCGTGCCAGAGATCTTTTTTTTGCTCTTTGGATTCCGGATCTCTTCATGAAACGAGTGGAGACTAATCAGGTGAGAAATAGGTACCTGTTGGTAATGGCAACTTGATTCACATGAACTTTCTCTTTTTTAGTCACCTTAAGTCATGCTTAGGAAGAGCCTGTCTATGTGTGATGCCACAGAAGGTATTCTGTACAAGTTAAGAGATGCCGTGCTGGTGATCTTCTTATATTTCTATTTGCTAAAGTAGATGCTATGTGACCTAAATGCTTAAAAGGTCATGTATAAAGAGGCAGACCTAGATGTTTGGGCCTAGACTTGAAAATGATTATTTCTACAGCACATTTCCAAGAGAGCTTATGAAAGTCACCTTATGCTTGCAGTGTTTCTAATGGATTATGGTTGGTTATTTGAAGTTTCTTACTGGTGGTTTTGTCCTTTTTTTATAGGACTGGTCTTTGATGTGTCCAAATGAGTGTCCTGGTCTGGATGAGGTTTGGGGAGAGGAATTTGAGAAACTATATGAAAGGTATGGGAAAAATATGAAAGAAGACAATAATGTTTTATCATGGTTTCTCTTATTTCAGGGATCCAAATAGCAAAAGTTCTTGTCAAGAATCTTCTGAAGCATCTAAGAGAAAAAGTGACTAAAAATTTTGGTCAGATTTGTTTCCTGACTCTTCACCAAAACTGAGTTGTGTCTTTGTCTTTCTTAAAACTTTGGGATGTATAAATAGGTTCTTGGGATTTTTAATTGATCCTTATAAAAATTAAGAAGGTGACTAGCAGGGTTATTATTTTGCTTTGTCATACAGTACTTTTTATAAGTTATGCTTTATATTGCATAAAGGAATCATGAGTGACTAGGACACATATGCCAATAGTTTTATATTAAGAGTAGCACAATAGGCCAGGTGCAATGGCTCACGCCTGTAATCTCAGCACTTCTGGAGGCCAAAGCAAGTGGATCACTTGAGGTCAGGAGTTTGAGACCAGGTTGGCCAACATTGTGAAACCCTGTCTCTAGTAAAAATACAAAAATTAGCTGCACGTGGTGGTGCATACTCGTAGTCCCAACTACTTGAGAGGCTGAGGCAGGAGAATCGCTTGAACCTGGGAGGCAGCAGTTGCAGTGAGCTGAGATTGTGCCACTGCACTACAGCCTGGGTGACAGAGCGAAACTCCATCCCAAAAAAAAAAAAAAAAAAAAAAAAAAAAAAAAAAAAAAATTAGCACAATATTAAGAGATTTGACTTCCTTAGTTTTTACTCATTTTTATTATGAAAGGTATTACTTGGTTTAGTGGGATTGGGATCATTTGCAGAAGGCTAAAACTGCCTCATTTTCCTCTGTGGCTTTAGCCAGAGTAAAATAAATGTTGTATTCCTTTTTTTTTTCTTTAGCAAAACTTAGAAAAAATTAAAGAGTTTTCATAACTTTATATTTTAATGTCTTCAAGTTGTCTACAATAATGATTTTTTTAGGGAATAATATATTAAATAATATTTTCTGTGCCTGTCAGTTATGAGAAACAGCGTCGTGTCCGCAAAGTTGTAAAAGCTCAGCAGCTTTGGTATGCCATCATCGAGTCTCAGACAGAGACAGGTACCCCGTATATGCTCTATAAAGATTCCTGTAATCGGAAGAGCAACCAGCAGAACCTGGGAACCATCAAATGCAGCAACCTGTGCACAGAAATAGTAGAGTACACCAGCAAAGATGAGGTAGGTAGAAAAAATTCTTCCTAGAGCACTAAGAAAAAGACCTTAGGCAGTTACTGTTTGTGAGTTCCTCACTTGATTTCAGTTGAGATGAGTGAAGGGAGTTTTCATAGTTGTAAGCAGAAGAACACTAAAAAAGGCAGGTAGCAAAGGAAGGAAGGGGTATGATCTGTGCCTATAAATGCTTTTTAGTCTAAGCTATATGGGAAAGACTCAGTTTTTTTCTTATACATGCATCATTGTAATAATATTTAGTCAAGAAAAACAGAAATGCAGTTATGTTGGTTTAGGACACACACAAAAATGTGTTAGGATGTACATCCAATTAAAGGTATGTAAGCTTTGGCTCTTTCCCTTCACTGTTGCGGCCGCAGCCATAAATGAGTATGCTCAGGCTTCAGAAGAGGCTTGTCTCTAGTGTCCTTTGCTGTAGCAAGAAGGTCTGGTTGGACCCCAGTGAGACCAATGAAATCGCCAGTGCCAACTCCCGTCAGCAGATCTGGAAGCTGATCAAAGATGGGCTGATCATCCACAAGCCTGTGACGGTCCATTCCTGGGCTGATGCTGGGAAAACACCTTGGCCTGCTGGAAAGCCAGGCGCATGGGCATAGGTAAGCATAAGGGTACAGTCAATGCCCAAATGCCTGAGAAGGTCATGTGGCTGAGAATGAGGATTCTGCGCCAGCTGCTCAGAAGATACTGGCAATCTAAGAAGATTGATTGCCACATGTGTCACAGCCTGTACCTGAAGGTGAAGGAGAATGTGTTCAAAAACAAGCGGATTCTCAGGGAACACATCCGCAAGCTGAAGGCAGACAAGGCCCACAAAAAGCTCCCGGCTGACCAGGCTGAGGCCTGCAGGTCTAAGACCAAGGAAGCACGCAAGTGCCGTGAGGAGCAACTCCAGGCCAAGAAGGAGGAGATCATCAAGACTTTGTCCAAGGAGGAAAAGACCAAGAAGTAAAAGCTCCCCCTTTGTCTGTCCATACTGTCCTCCGTGATTACATAAATTAGCCATTAAAATAAAACAAGCCATTATTTGCTTAAAAAAAAAAAACAAAAAATAAGCGTTGAGCCGGGAAAGTGGAGGCTGCAGTGGGCTGATATTGTGTCACTGTACTCCATCCCCAGTGACAAAATGAGACCCTATCTCAAAACAAACAGACAAAAAACAAAAACAACAACAAAAAAATAATGTAAGTTTATAGAGAGTCCTTTCAGTGAATGGTGAGATAAAATTCTAATCTCAAGTCTGGAAAGAGACTTCACAGAATTAAGGCTAGAAATGGGACATAGATTTGGTGTTTAAAAAAAAAGTTTTAGAGAAGAGCTTTCCATTTGGAAAGAATAGTCTGTATGATACATCAGAGATAGGGCTGGGTTTTGTGCAGGGTGTCAAGGAAATTTGTTTTGATGGTGTAAGTAGATTAATCATTGGAATATGGAGAGATGGCTATGGCTGGGGGAAGGGAGATGGAAGGTAGAAGCTGACATGTCACAGAGATAGGAAGCCCTTGTAGGTTTCTGACAGGAAAATAGCATCAAATAGCAATAAATAGTGTCTTGTTATGAGAAGAGGTTAGAGATTAGCCTAGGGAGATTGTTGCAGTAGTTGGATGACAGGCTGCTTTGATATTGCGTGTAAACTATGGAAATGAGGAAGGAGTAGATCCTCAATTCTAGGATCTTAAAAAAGGCAAATGGAAAGTTAGAAAGTAAATGGAAATTGAGTAAAATATACTGCTAAGGTTACAGTTTAATTCAAAATTTATTGATTACCAGCTATATGTAAAACACTATGTTAAATGCTCTGAAAATATAAACAAATATGCTGCTCTCTGGAAACTTCTAATTTAGTTGGAATAAATTGATAGGTATTCAAGTAACTATTATGCAAGATAGATTATATTATTGAGACTAGTGTGAACTTTTTAAAATAAAAACCAGATAATGTCATTTGTCTGCACAAACCTACTCTTTGGCTTGCCAACTCATGCAGAATTCTTTTTTTCTTTTGAGTCAAGACTAAGATCTTACTCTGTTGCCCAGGCTGGAGTGTGGCTCACTGAAACCTCAAGTTCTTTTTGTAAATTGAGATGTGATTCACTCTTTTAAAAAATGTATAATTCGGTGTTTTTTAGTATATCTGCAAGTCTGCGCAACCATTACCACTATCTAATTGTAGTACATTTTTATCACTCTAGATAATGAAACCCTGTACCCATTAGCAGTTACTCCCTGTTCCCTTCTTCCCTCAGCCCTTGACAACCACCAATATATTTTCTGTCTCTGGATTTGTGGACACTGTGGACATTCCATATGAATGGAATCGTATAACATGTGGCCTTTTGTGTCAGGCTTCTTTCACTTAGCATGTTCTTAAGGGTTTTTCATGTTGTAGCATGTTTCAGTTATTCATTCCTTTCCATCCAGAGTTCTTACATTGCCCTTCAAAGTCCTAACCCACCGCATCTGTGATTACTTTCCCCTTTGTTCATTGTGCTCCAACCCTATTAATTTTCTTGCTGTTTCTCAAACATGTCAGACATGCTCCTACCTGAAGATTTTTGCTCTTTCTTGCCACTTGAATGTTAAAATGCACCACCTCTCCCCATAACCACATAGTTTGGTTTCTAACCTGTTAGTTCTTTGTTCATATGCAACATTTTCAGTGAGGTTTTTCTTGACACCTTTGTTTAAAAATGACACCCCTTCATCTTTATCCCCAGTACTCTCTGTCTTCTTTTCCTGCCTATTTTTCTCCCTGGCATTTATTAGACTTCTGTGATTCAAGCTATATTTTTAAAATGGGTATTTGGCAACATGTGTAGAATGGAGTTGATGTGAAGGGCATCAAGAGTTCAACTGATGCCAGGTGAGGGAAGTTGAGACTTTGGGTTGGGATGGTCATAATCCAAATGGAAAAGGAAGTATATTCATTCAACATTATTAAGACTTACTGTATGCCAGATGTGTTGCTAGTGCTATAAATATAAACAAGATGTGATCTTGTGTGAAGAAGCTCACTGCCTAGTGTAGTGTAGTGGAGGAATAACTGGAAGAGCTTTTTTGAAATTCACAAATTAGGATCCTTTGTTGCTAAGAGCTTGTCAGAGTATCAGTGATGTGAGGTAGAGGTGTGTTTTGAAGAACTTTCTGCAGTGATGGAAATATTCTGTATCTGGTAGCTAGTGAACATTTGAAACATGACTAGTGCAACTGAAAAACTCAAATTTTATTTCATTTTAAATAGATACATGTAGCCAGTGGCTACCATATTGCAGGCACTCATCTACTAAATACTGAGATAAGTGTTTGTAAAAAGTTAATTATAACATAGTGTGATATATGTCTAGTAATAGAGGTGTGTACTGTGGAACACTGGGTTCTCTAGCTTACCTATTTTGCCGATGCATGTTATAACTAACATATATGACTAGGTATTGAAATAGAATCAGTGGGATTTAGAAATAGACTGATGAATGATGAAGAGGGAGAAGTCAAATATAAACATTTAAAAATTTAATGTCTGAGAGTATTAGAGGCTCACATGGTAGTGTGATTGACACAGAGAGTAGAAATAAAAATTGTGTGATTCTTGACCTTTTTTTTTTTTTTACATTCCAGGTTGCTGTTTGTAATTTGGCTTCCCTGGCCCTGAATATGTATGTCACATCCGAACACACATATGACTTTCAGAAGTTGGCTGAAGTCACTAAAGTCATTGTCCGAAACTTGAATAAAATTATTGATATAAACTACTATCCTGTACCAGAGGTATGAATAGATTTCTCTCCTTACTGGCGATGATCGAAATCCAAATTGAAAGGAATCAGTCATGATCTGCAAGTCATCATTTAAATGGTTGTCAACAAAATGGTGTGAGAAAACTGAGATAAAAGAGGCAATCTCTTTCATTTGGTGTAGAATGTTGCTTTTCCTGTTCAGTAATGTTTTCTCCTTTAAAATCTATTGACACAAAGGCATGCCTATCAAATAAACGTCATCGCCCCATTGGAATTGGGGTACAAGGTCTGGCAGATGCTTTTATCCTGATGAGATACCCTTTTGAGAGTGCAGAAGCCCAGCTATTGAATAAGCAGATCTTTGAAACTATTTATTACGGAGCCTTGGAAGCCAGCTGTGACCTTGCTAAGGAGCATGGACCATATGAAACCTATGAGGGCTCTCCAGTTAGCAAAGGAGTAAGTATATGGATGAAATTGTTTTTGCCTGTAAGTAACTGTAGTGGGCTGAATGGTGACCCCACAAAAGGATATGTCCACATCCTAATTCCTGGAACCTGTGAATTTCATTTTATTTGGTTCGAAAAAGAGTTTTTACAGATGTAATTAAGAACTTTGAGATAAGGAGATTTTCCTGGATTATCCAGGTGGGCTCTAAATCTAATGACAGTTGTCCAGCAAGAGACACAGAAGGGGAAGCAACATGACTATGGAGGCAGAAATTGGAGTGTTACAACCACAAGCCTTGGAATGCTGATAGCCACTATAAGAGGCAAGGAACAGAATCTCTTCTAGTGCCTTTGGAGGGAGTGTGGCCCTCCCAACATGTTGATTTTGGGCTTCTGGTCTTCAGACTATAAGATAATAAATTTTTGTTATTTTAAGTTAACAAGTTTTTGGTAATTTGTTGCACCAGCCGTAGGAAACTTGAATACCTTTGTCCTCTGGAATAAAAAGGATATTCTGTTTTAATCTCTTATTTAGAACTAGTCATTGCTAAAATAATGTTAAGAGGGATGCTGTGTTAGTTTTCTGTGGATTAAAACATGCATTCATTATCTCACAGTTTCCACAGGTCAGGAGTCCAGACTTAGCTTAGCTGGGCTTTTTTTGTGTCTGTGTTCAAGATGTTGGTACAGGCTGTGGTCTCATCTGAGGCATAGAGTTCTCTTCCAGGCTCACCTGGTTGTTGGCAAAATATATTTCGAGAATTCATGGCATCTTTCTTCTTTATGGCCAGTTGGGGAGACCATCTCTCATTTCAAATGGGGCACAGTCTGGTCTCTCTTTTGAGGGTTTTCACCTGATAAGTCAGGTCTACATAGGATAATTGCCCTCTCACCTTTCCACCTCCCCCCTGCCTTTTTTTGGGGGGACAAGAGTCTCACTTTGTCACCCAGGCTGGAGTGTGTGGTGTGATCTCAGATCATTGCACCCTCCGCTTCCCAGGTTCAAGCAATTCGATTCTCCTGCCTCAAGTCTCCCGAGTAGCTGGGATTACAGGTGTGTGCCACCTCGTCTGTCTAATTTTTGTATTTTTTGTAGAGATGGGTTTTTCCCATGTTGGCCAGGCTGGTCTCAAATTCCTGACCTCAGGTTATCCGCCTGCCTCGGCCTCCCTAAGTGCTGGGATTACAGGCATGAGTCACTGTTCCTGGCGTAATCTTCCTTTTATTTAACTCAGAATCAGCTGATTTACAACCTTAATTAAACCTGCAGAAACCTTTCACCTTTGCCATAATCACTGGAGTGACATCCATCCTATTCTCAGGTCATGTCGACACTCAAGTGGAGATATAAACAGCCTGTGCACTAAGGTGTGGGAATCTGGGGAGCTCTCTTAGAATTCTGCCCTCCCTACTGCCTTTATTATCAGTAGTGTGATTCATTTCTACATAAAATGTTAATTTTATTTCTGACATTCCTGCTGGTGTTAGAAAATCTAATCTGTGGTTATTAGAAAATAGGTGTTTTTAGCTAAGTAAACAGATCAGGGGACAGATCAAGGCAATGAAGAAAGACGAGGTTAAAGTGACATTTTTACTGTAATAAAAAAAAGAATGTTATCAGCCACATACTTTCATGAATGTTAGAGTTTTCTGGTTTGTAGATATGATATGGGATAATCAGCTTTCTTAACCTACTTCTGATTAATATGACTACATGGAATTTTGTTCAGGAAAATCTCTAGAGCATGTATTCCTCATAGAGGTCTATTAGAAGACAGCATTTGTTTGGGATGTGGGGACATGGCAGCTAGTCATTTTTTTTTTTTTTTTGGTCATAGTTTTAACTTGCTGTAGAATAAATTTGAGTTGTGTATTCCTTAGATTCTTCAGTATGATATGTGGAATGTTACTCCCACAGACCTATGGGACTGGAAGTTTCTCAAGGAGAAGATTGCAAAGTAAGTGAAGAGATGTAAAGTAGCTCTGAAGGCAGAATGGTTTAGGCTCTCCTGGCTCTTCAGAAGTTAGATGTGTCATTTTAACTTCTTAAACTCATTTATTACAATTGGGGCTAAAATGACCTATCTCACAGAGCTATTTTGGGAAAAGATTTCGTAAGATAATATATAGAGTAACTTGTAAGTTGCTTGGCACAATGAAAGCATTTCAGTACATGGTAGGAATTACTATTATTAGTTGATCTTATTGTAGGGACTTAACACACCTAGATTAGGTACTTTTCTTTCTCATTAAGGCTTTTTTCCAGCTATGCTTTTTTTTAAAAAAAATGTTTTTCATTCTTATTATTTCCCAATTTAGTTACATTGGCATATAAATAGCTTTTGTTTGAATTGATTGTCATAGGAATAAGGGATTTTGGAAGAGCCTTTGTAGGGTAACGTGTTTAACTATATGAAAGAAAAATTTTAAAATTGAGTTTTTGTAGGCCTTTCAAACTAATAAGCATGAGGGATTGGAAGGCAGGCAGAATGTTTTGCAGAGTAAATAACAAAACAAATTGTTTTTGTTCTCTATTGTGATAACTTTGTCATCTATGGGTTAATGCATATATGCAAAGTGATTAATATTTGGAGAATGAAGCAATAGCTTTAAAATGCTCTTTAAAAAAACTGTTTGCCTTAAAATTGTTTTCTTAAATAATACATGTTAGAAAATTTAGGAAAACATAGATTTGGAAAGAGAAAATGAAAATTATCCTAATATTGTCTCCCCCCAAAAAAGTATGTGCATCTTAGTGTCTGTCATCCTTTAGGCTTTCTTCTAAGAGTACACACATGTGTGTATTTACATGGAAATTCAACTTTTTAGAAAATGGACCTGTACTGTATTTTTATGTTTTTTTCTCAAAATACTATGGCTTAGTTTTTTATATATATAGCTTTTTTTCTAATTTCAAAATTAGTATATGAGCACATATTTATTATTAATGAAGTTCAAATACAGAAATAAAATAGAAAGGAGAAGCCTTTCTTCATACTTTTGCCAACCATTTGTCTCAGGAAACAAACCAAAAAACTGACTTACCCTTTTTCCCAGAGATAAGACTTGTTAATGGCATGTATTTTTTCTAGACCTTTTTTAGTACATTTGCAGATAGATACACATACACAGTTTTGTCATATAAATGTGATCAAACTTGATGTATTCTGGGCTGGGCACCGTGGCTCACGTCTGTAATCTCAGCACTTTGAGATGCTGAGGTGGGAGGATCACTTGAGGTCAGGAGTTCAAGACCAGCCTGGTCAACATGGCAAAACTTTGTCTGTACTAAAAATACAAAAATTAGCTGGGTATGTGGTGCATACCTGTAATCCTAGCTACTTGGGAGGCTGAGTCATGAGAATCGCTTGAACCTGGAATTACAGTGGATATTACAGTGAGCTGAGATCGCACCGCTGCACTCCAGCCTGGGTGACTAAGTGAGACTCGGTCTCAAAAAAGAAACCAAACTTGATATATTCTGAGACTTGTTATTTAGTGATTTATTTTGGAGCTGTTTCTCTTTTAGTACATGTAGATCTACCTAACGTTTTTAATGATTACAGACAATTCTGTAGCTTGGATATATCATATATGTAAGACTTTTCACATCATTTTCCTGTCTGTAGACAGATGATGTTGCTATTTTACAGATGAGTAAGTAAAGACATGAAGATAGTTGGTAGTTTGCTTGATATCTCACTAAAAAGTGACAAAGTAAGGTGGAGAACCACACCCCAAATAAAGTAAATAAAGAAATAATAAAAACTAAAAAGTAGAGAACCCAGTTGTATTAGTCCATTCTTACACTGTTATAAAGAACTGCCTGAGACTAGGTAATTTATAAAGGAAGGAGGTTTAATTGACTCACAGTTCTGCAGGGCTGAGGAGGCCTCAGGAAACTTAGAATCATGGCAGAAGGGTAGGCAAACAAGTCCTTTTTTATATGGCAGCAAGTGAAGTGCTGAGTAAAGGGAGAAAAGCCCATTATAAAACCAGATCTCGTGAGAACTCACTATCATGAGAACAGCATGAGGGTAACCTCCCCCAAGATTAAATTACCTCCTATCAGGTCCCTCCCATAACACGTGGGGATTACGGGAACTACAGTTCAAGATGAGATTTGATGGGGACACAGCCAAACCAAATCTCTTGTTGTACAGACTCCATCAGGATATGAGGCTGTATGCTAAGCACTGTATGAATCCATAGGTATAGAATGTAGAAAAGACAGGCTGTTTGTGTTTTAAAAACTTGAGACTAAGAAGACAAATAGTTAAGGCATATGGAAAGGTACAGGTCAGAGAAAATGTTTGCAGAGCAGATATTTGTATTTGACATTTGTATTTGTACCTGCCTGATCAGGAAAGATGTTTTAAAATTGATATTAATTAGGCTGAGCTTTGAAGGGTGAGCTGGGGCAGTTGGGAGATTTCTCAGTGTGTCAGATAGTATATTCTCCCTTAAGTACTCTTGGGCATTGATTAGTCAAAAGATGTTAACCTTCTTCCAGGAACTTATAATTAAAGAATATACTTTGAGCATAGTTTTTTCCTCTTCACATAATAGTGGAGAATTATGGTGATACATGTCTGATTCTGACCACTTTTTCATCATTATTTTTCTAGAAGGGGCCCAGGCACTTAGAAAAGAATGAGGGTTGAATGAGCATACCCTGATACAGGTGGGGAGTGCTTCAAGTCATGATAAGGATTGCCAACAATAAAAATTGTATTTATTCAGTTTAGGAGTCAGGCATTTAAGAGGAGAGTGAGCTATAATAGCACCCATACTATGGAATTGCCTCTATGTTGGAGTTTAGTTGCCTCCATGTAGGAATTTTTGAATTAGATGAGTTCAATGCATCTATGATGTTACAGCATCTGCATTTACTACAGTGACTTAAAGTAGCTGCTTTCCTGGCAGATTGTAGCTTTAGGACTAGTACCTGATAATCTCCTTTTCTTTAGGTATGGTATAAGAAACAGTTTACTTATTGCCCCGATGCCTACAGCTTCCACTGCTCAGATCCTGGGGAATAATGAGTCTATTGAACCTTACACCAGCAACATCTATACTCGCAGAGTCTTGTCAGGAGAATTTCAGGTGAGCAGTTCACAACCAGCCCTCCAGGGAGATCTTTCAAAAGCTTGATATTGGGAGTAAATGCTCATTCATGTTTAATTTGCTCATTTTCTTAGTTTGGATGCAAAGCTTTGATAATAGTAGTTCTTCATCTCTAATATTATTCTTTGTTATTAATATTTCAGCACATAATAGGCATTTAATAAGTCTGTTGAAAGAATGATTGAGGGTTGGGTATCAAAGTAACTTGTTGATAGTAGAGTTAACATGTTTAACTGTTATGTAATCGTAGTGATATAGTCTACAATTTCCTCCAGATGCTTAAGGTAGGATACTCAAAATGTATAAAAGAAGTAGCATTTAAGGCAGTGGTTCTCAGACTTGGTTATCAAATAGAATTTATGGTGGGCGGGACTACTTTTTTTTTTTTTTTTTTTTTTTAAGGTTCCCAGGAAATTCTTATGTGCAGCTAGGGTTGAGAACCTCAGTTTAAGAGACTATTTGTGAATTTCCAGATATCTTGAAATAAAGTTCTGTAAAGTTCAAGAAGGATACGTTTCTAATTTTTTTAACCTAGGTATTTATATATTTACCCGTCTTAGGTGTTGTTCTTTTTACTTTTGCAAATGTCATATATTATGTTTCTTTTTTAATTTAAATATTTTTTCAGTTTTTCGAGGCATAATTGACAAATAAAAACTGTGTATATATCAAAGGTATACAGCTCCGTATCACAATGTTTTTGTTGTTGTTGTTGTTGTTGATTTTGAGAAAGTATCTCGCTTTGTCACCCAGGCTGGAGTGCAGTGGTATGATCTTGGCTCACTGCAACCTCTGCCTCCTGGGTTTAAGCAATTCTCGTGCCTCAGCCTCCCACTTAGCTGGGATTACAGGCAGGCTGCATCACCACACCTGGCTAATTATATTCTTTCTTGAATAACAGATGTCAGGATCTTAAAGGAATATAGTTTTGTGTGGTGGGATTGATGTCTCAGTTTTATAAAAAATGGAATTTACCAAAAAAGCAATCTAGCATTAAATAATTCTTAAGTGATTTTAGTTTAAGCTTCAAACCTGTGGTCTTATCTAGGCTGTCACTGTTATTTATTACTTCATATATTTTCTGCTTTTCCATCCAGATTGTAAATCCTCACTTACTGAAAGATCTTACTGAGCGGGGGCTATGGCATGAAGAGATGAAAAACCAGATTATTGCATGCAATGGCTCTATCCAGGTATAGAATGAAAATGAAGTGTGCTTTGCAGGGGCTGAGTTGGACAATGTGGTGCCTCCTTACTCATCCCAGACAATGGAGAGAACGACTTCAGTGTGTTCATTTGGCTCTGGTTATGTAGCTTTGTCCACCTATGCATTGTTGTGCTAGGATTGTACACATCTTTACTTAGCCCTTACCATCTTGTTTTTATGCAATAATGTAAAATAGTAGTTCTTAATTTTTCTGCATCTTAGAATCAACTGGAGAGGTTTTAAAATCCTGAAGCTTAGGTTGCATTCCTTACCAATTAAATGTCTGGGAGCGGGAGCCAGACATCAATTTTTTTTTCTTTTGAGATGGAGTCTGTCGCGCAGCGGTGCCATCATGGCTCACTGCAACCTCTGCCTCCTGGTTTCAAGCGATTCTACTGCCTCAGCCTCCCAATTAGCTGGGAATTTAGGTTCCCACCACCCAGCTAATTTTTTGTATTTTTAGTATAGATGGGCTTCACCATGTTGGCCAGGCTAGTTTCGAACTCCTGACCTCAGGTGATCTGCCTGTTTTGGCCTCTCAGAGTGCTGGGATTATATGTATGAGCCACTGTTCCTGGCCTCAGACATCAATACTTTTTAAAGATTCCTTCAGTGATTCCACAGTGCCTCAGAATTTGGGGGATCATTGATAGACTGAAATTAAGAGAGTCAAACTTAAAAGGCATGGTAGAGATTGAGGACTGATAGTCCAAAAGACAGAGTCACAAATAGTTTAAATATTTGCAGCTGAGTTTCAAGAGGCATTTATTTGCAGGTAGAGACCTCTGGCTAAATGTTGGTCTGCTTAGCAACACAGATGAAAAGTCCTGTAACAGTTCCATATTTGATGACAGAAACTGTAGCATTAGCCAGTCTGTGTATTTTAATGAATGTTAACCCTAGACCTAAGAAAACCTGATTTCTTTGGATTCCAGAGGTAGTTTGGAATCCTAGCTTAAAGGATTTTATCTCATTGCTTCCCTTGATCCCTGTGAATTACAGCCCTCATTTTTTTGTGTTTTCTGCAAAACTCAAGGGTTATTTATTGCTGCTTAGCTCTGGCTTTTCCTTTCTTTCTTAAGTGCCTCTAGAAGAAGGAATGTTTGGATCATAGACCAATTTTTAATTGACTTATGACCAAAAAAAGGAATGCTTAAATTACTGTCACCAGATTGATATTAGGTTGGTTAGATGGGGTTTTGTTCAACTTTCTAAATAGTCTTGGTAAACTTGATAAAGATCATATCATATGATAACTGAATTGTAAGGTCAAATCTGGCAGGAAGTAGAACCAAGGTCAAACCCTTGTGTCACTATTCTATTAATCATACTGCTTTATTTACCAAAGTAAAATAAACATTTGGTTTTCATTCTTTAGAGCATACCAGAAATTCCTGATGACCTGAAGCAACTTTATAAAACTGTGTGGGAAATCTCTCAGAAAACTGTTCTCAAGATGGCTGCTGAGAGAGGTGCTTTCATTGATCAAAGCCAGTCTTTGAACATCCACATTGCTGAGCCTAACTATGGCAAACTCACTAGTATGCACTTCTACGGCTGGAAGCAGGTTAGTAGAGAATATCAAGGAGGACTTAACTGCCAGCTTGAGATATTTTGGCATTGGAATGATTTTATGTTCTAGCCACCTGTTAAATATTACCACCTAGAAATTCTTTAAGTTCAAATCCAGTATGTTAAAACCAACCCATGGTTTTTGTACCAAATCAAGGTATTGCCTTGGATTTTCTTGTTTTTGTTAGGTTTCTTTCCTTCTTAGGTTTGAAAACTTGGAGTTACTTGTGATCCTTTCCTTCCTTTAGTCTCTGTGCAATTACTAACCAATTTGTGTTGATTGTTCCTTTGTATTATTTCTTAAGTATCTTCCTTCCAATTCTGCTGCTTTTATTCTAAACTGACCTTATTGCTTCTAACATTTCTGCTCCCAGCCATTTTGTGTACATTACAACCATTCCTCAAACAAAACTTTGCACGTCAACCCACTATTCAAAAATGTAAAAGCTAGATTACTTAGCATTGCTACATGTAAAGTCTGCTGATTTTGGATTATGTTCTTATTCCCTGATAATGTACTGGGTATTTATGTAGAATTATAAATTTGTTTCTTAATTTAAGATTTATTGAACATCTAGTATATGCCAGGACTGAAGATGCTGAATAGAAGATGATGATCCTTATCTTTGAAGTCTTATAGTCTGTTGTTATACAGAGACACAGTCTACTTGTCTAAATAGTTATAACCTAAGGCAGACATGTTGTCTTGGGCAAACTTGGAAGTCATATACATAAAAACAAAGACAAAATAATAAAAATGTTTGACCTTTCCAAAGAGATAAGCCTGTTTTCGGGGTGAAAAGAACAGGGTTTCACTGTCTGACTCAAAGCATTTTTGAGTACTCCTAGAGGAGATAGAATTCCAAGTTTAAAAAAGAGTTTGACCTGGTTCATGGGAATGTATTTTATTTATGTATTTATGTATGTATGTACATATGTATGCATTTATTTATTTTGAGACAGAGACTCACTCTGTTGCCCAGGCTGGAGTACAGCTGTGTGATCTTGGCTCACTGCAACCTCTGTCCTGGGTTCAAGTGATTCTTGTTTCAGCTCCTCAGTAGCCAGGATCACAGGCAGTGCCACCACTCCTGGCTAACTTTTGTATTTTTAGTAGAGATGGGGTTTTGCCATGTTGGCCAGGCTTGTCTCAAACTCCTAGCCTCAAGCAATCCACCTGCATCGGCCTCCCAAAATGCTCAGATTACAGGTGTGAGCCACTGCACCTGGCCAGGAATGTATTTTATTTTTATTTTAACATTATTATTTTATTTTATATATTTTTAGGCAGAGTCTCACTCTGTTGCCCAGGCTGGAGTGCAGGGGTACAATCTTGGCTCACTGCAACCTCCGCCTCCTGAGTTCAAGTGATTCTCTTACCTCAGCCTCCTGAGTAGCTGTGATTTACAGGTGTGCGCTATCACATTCGGGTAGTTTTTGTATTTTTAGTAGAGATGGGGTTTCACCATGTTGGCCAGGCTGATCTTGAAACCTGACCTCAAATGATCCATGTGCCTCGGCTTCCCAAAGTGCTGGGATTACAGGCATGAGCCACTGTGCCCAGCCAGGAATGTATATTAAATATTGGTGTGGAATGTCTAGTATTCTTGAAAAGTTTCTCCTAATAATTGTATTTATTTTCCCTGTAGGGTTTGAAGACTGGGATGTATTATTTAAGGACAAGACCAGCAGCTAATCCAATCCAGTTCACTCTAAATAAGGAAAAGCTAAAAGATAAGGAAAAGATATCAAAAGAGGAAGAAGAAAAGGAGAGGAACACAGCAGCTATGGTGTGCTCTTTGGAGAACAGAGATGAATGTCTGATGTGTGGATCCTGAGGAAAGCTTGGGAGAGACCAGCATGTCTTCAATGGCCAAACTACTTTTTGAGCATAGATAGGTGTAGTGGGTTTGCTTGAGGTGGTAAGGCTTTGCTGGACCCTGTTGCAGGCAAAAGGAATAATTGATTTAAAGTACCGTCTAGGATAATTGTAATGATTTTTTTTTTAAACTCATATATTGGAATTTTCACAAAAGTGATGCTTTTGAAAAAAAAAAAACCCAATATATTGGGAATAAAAGTAAAAGTTTTAGGAGTGCAGAATAAGTCATCTTGCATACAGGGAGTGATTAAGTAAGGTTTCATCACCCCTTTAGCCCTGCTTTTCTGATGACTTCAGTTTTGTTAAGGAGATTTAGTTTTACAGCTTTGACTGGTGGGTCTCTAGAAGCAAAACAGTGACAGCTCATAAAAAGTGCTGATAGGACCTTTATCTGGATATAGTCATATAGGACCTTTATCTGGGTATGATCCTATTATTCTGAAATAAAGATAAACATTTCTAAGTGATTGTATGAGATTAATTTTGTCATTTACTTTCATATAGAAGTCAAATTTGAAAAAAACATTTTCTGTTCTTTGAGAATTCAGGGAGGACTTTTTTTTTTGTTTTTGAGATGGAGTTTTGCCCTTGTTATCCAGGCTGGAGTGCAATGGCGTGATCTCAGCTCATTGTAGCCTCCGCCTCCCGGGTTCAAGTGATTCTCCTGCCTCAGCCTCCTGAGTATCCGGGATTACAGTCATGTGCTACCACTCCTGGCTAATTTTGTATTTTTAGTAGAGACAGGGTTTTTCCATGTTGGTAAGGCTGGTCTCAAACTCCCTGCCTCAGGTGATCTGCCTGCCTCAGCCTCGCAAAGTGCTGGGATTACAGGTGTGAGCCACTGTGCCCGGCCCTTCAGGATGTCATTATATGCCTTTTTCATCTTTTTTTCCTTTCTGTAGTAAAATATACATAACATGTAATTTACAGTTTTACCCATTTTTAAACGTATAATTCAGTGGCTTAAGCACAATCTCAGTGTTATACTACCATCACCACTATTTGTTTCCAGAACTTCATCATCCCAAACATAAACTCTGTATAAATAAGAACATTAACTCCTCATTCCCTCACCCCTAAGTCCCTGGTAACCTCTATTCTACTTTACATCTCTATAATATGCCTATTCTAGGTACCTCATAAATGGAATGCATATCTGGCTTATTTTATTTAGCATAATATTTTCATAGTTTATCCATGTTATAGCACGTATCCAAATTTCATTCTGCATGTATACCACACTTTTTTTTTGACAGAATCTTGCTCTGTCACCCAGGCTGTGTAATCTTGGCTTGGCTCACTACAACGTCTACCTCTTGGGTTCAAGCGATAAGTAATTATTGCGCCTCAGCTTCCTGAGTAGCTGGGATTATAGGTGTGCACCACCATGCCTGGCTAATTTTTGTATTTTTCGTAGAGATGGGGTTTCACCATGTTGGCCAGACTGGTCTCAAACTCCTGGCCTCAAGGGATTTACCCGAATGCGCTACCACACTCAGGTAATTTTTGTATTTTTAGTTGAGATGGGATTTCATTACGTTGGCCAGGCTGGTCTTGAACTCCTAACCTCGAGTGATCCACCTGCTCGGCCTTCCAAAGTGCTGGGATTACATGCATGAGCCTCCACACCTGGCTTACCACACTTTGTTAATCCACTATCTTTTGATGGATATTTGGGTTGTTTCCTTCTTTTAAGGAATTGTGACTAATGGTCTTGTGAATATTGATTTACAAGTATCTATTGAGTTCCTGCTTTCAATTCTTAGTGAAGTTGCTGGAAATTACAGTAATTCTATCTTTAACTTTTTGAGGAACTAGCAAACTTTTCGACAGCAGCTGCATTATTTTACATTTCCACCAGCAATACAGTAGGTTACCATTTTCTCCACATCTTTACACAACACTTATTTTTCATATTTTTGTTTTTGTTTTGATTTTTGAGACAAGGTCTTGCTCTGTTGCCGAGACTGCAGTGCAGTGGGTACCATCATAGCTCACTGCGGCCTCGATCTGCTGGGCTCAAGTGATGCTCCTATCAGCCTCTCAAAGTGTTGGGGTTACAGGTGTGAGCCACCATGCCCAGCTTGTATTTTTTTAAATAGCCATCTTAGTGACTTGACAATTTCATTATAATGTGTCTTGGTTTGGGTCTCTGAGTTTATCCTATTTGGGACTTACTGGGCTTATTAGATTTGTAGATTCACATATTTATTTAAATTTGGGATTTTTTGGCTATTATTTCTTTAGATAATTTTTCTTCCCCTTTCTACTTGGGACTTCCACAGTGCATCTATGGGTTGACTTGATGGTGAGCCATAGGTCTGTTAGGCGTTGTTTACTTTGCTTTATTTTTTCTTTCTGTTCACAGACTTGATAATTTCAGTGTCCTGTCTTCTCATTTTCTGATTCTTCTTCCTGCTCAAATCTACTGTTGTTCTCCTCTAGTGAATTTTTCATTTCAGTTATTCTTTTCAACTCGAGAATTTTTATTCTTTGTAATTTTTGTCTCTCTTGATATTCTGGTTTTTCTGATTTCTTTTACTTATTTGTTCATCTTTTTCTTTAGCTTTTTGAATATATTTAACACAGTTGTTTTAATGTCTTTATTGAGTAAGTCCAGTGTCTTGGCTTTCTCAGGGATAGTGTCTGTCATTTTTTCTTGTTACTTTGAATAGCCCATGTTTTCTTTTTTTTTTTTTTTTTTACAGAGTATTGCTCTGTCACCCAGGCTAGA